TGATTTATTTCTGTATCCTTTCCTTTTACTGGCTTTTTTTTTTTTTAGCTGTTTTTCTTCTGACCGTTTTAGTTTTTTTTTTTTTTTCATTCTCTTTTTTTGCTATTAAATATCTTTCCATTACTCTTCGCATCTTCTTTTCGAACTTCCCTCTTCTTTTTGTCATCCATTCTATAACGCTTACGTATAAGCTACAACATATTTTCAACTACTTTAAGATCGCATTTAATTCTCCTAAATTTATAAATTTCCTTCCTTTCTCTTACTTACTGGCTTCATTACACCAGTCATTTTTCTCACTCGATCAGTTCCATGTCCTGTCTCCCGCCCGTCCTAATTTTAACTTTTTTCGCTTTTTTCTTTTGTCTTTTCTCTACTTCCTATTTTAATCATTTCTTCATTACAGCATTTCTCATCATTCTACGTCTTTACATAAATACATATACAAAATGGCATGCGTACAAGATGGTTGTCGCCTCGTTATCGGCATCATCTTATGACAGTTGTGCTTTGAGCGGATTGGCTCTTTAAACCAGAAAAAAACTTTTAAAACCTATGGCACAAAGTTGGCAGACATGAGACATATATTTTATTTTCATAAGGTTTATTTTGGCAATTGTTTGGATGTATTGTTAGCCAACAACTGACGTGCAATCTTTTCAATAAACGTTAGATAATTTCTCGGTACTTTTTACAAATTTGAAGTTGGTACGTTCTCTGATACAATGACTTAAAATTCTTGCATTACTCAAGCAAAACCAACCACAAATATAGCTGGTAAATGTCATGTCCGTCCACTTATATTGTTTACAGGTTTCACATCAAGGCTTTTTGAGATACTTCTTAGGTTTTCTTTGGCAAATTCAAACTTTCAAATTTTCCATCCAGCACTATTTATCTCCTAGATTTTACGATTCTTTGCATGGAACTCACAGTCATATATATTGTCCTTCCTCCTATATTGTCTGCAGGTTCCACATCAAGGCTCTTTTGGACAATTCTTAGGTTTTCTTTGGCAAATTCGTATTTCAAACTTTCCCTCCGCCATCATTTATCTCCCAGGTTGTATGATTCTTTGCATAGAACTCACAGTCATATATATTGATGTTTGCTTCTTTCAAGGCATGCTCATGACTCTTCTTTGGCTTATAGGCTTAACACTTTCTGATAGAAGGCTCACCATATTAAAGCCACTTTAGAATTGTTCACGCGAAAAAACATCACCACTTCAGGACAGCCCATATTTGAGAATTGCTGTTTCAGTGCTTAGGCATTTCTCCATCGCCGATTCTCGAACTAATTCTAATTATTCGATGCAAGTAACATTGATGAAAGCGTTCAAGCTGCATCAAGTGATCGCTATAGACAACACACGTTCCATCTGCATACATTAACGACATATAGAGACAAGAATATCATCTTAGTTACAAATTCCACACTGTCTCCATGTTTTGTTCTAACTTACTGAATACTTTGCATTCATTTTGAATTCTCCTCACAATTTTAGTAAGCATTTTCTCGATAGGATGCTAACATCAACCACGCTTATTGTATAAACACATATTTAACTAAATAAGTTTTAGCTAGTGTAGAGCTCTAACTCACTACAATGTTTTAGCCTTTTAGTAATTCCGAGATCAATACAAGTACTTTTGAAAGCTTCTATTAGGCGTCGCATATCATCTTTAGTATGAGCCACAAGATCGCTGAATATAACTAGTCTTGTACAAGGTTAACAGATGTCATCGTCTTTGCCGCCATTATTTTGGCACGATACAAAAAGCTAACATCATAATCCCGAAATTTAAAATACTGAAAGATCAGAATACCGAAAAATAGTCTTTGGGAGAAATTTAAAAAAAAATGGGAAATATCTTCTTTTTTTTTTTCTAAATATTTACAAAATAGTGTTTAACTGGCATTTATAGATTTGAAATATTCAAAATTTATAAAAAAATATAAAACCAGAATATGACATAGGCGATGGGAAAATTTAGTAGGCAATGCTCATGTCGATGTTAATCGCATTATTGGAGAGTTTCAAAAAGAGCAGAAGGACGTGGGGAGTCCTGTCCAAAACGAAAAGAAAATGTCCGTTTTATCGTGATGAAAGGCTTAAAAATATTAACGATCGTAAAAACTGACCAAATCTTATGAGTTATCTTAGAGCTCTTGCTCATAATCCTTTCATATAAATTATATATTCAGGCTTTGAAATTTCAGGATTTTAAGATTCGCGATTATAACCCAGACTCTAACAGAGCTATATCTTTAGATATCTTGAAGGTTTTTAACAAGTAATTGAATACTGGACTTCTTCCAAGGCTAAATGCTGTGGTGTCCTCGCTTGCAGTTATCATTTAATCCAATCTTTCTTTACAAATTGATTAATGAAAATCATATTGAACGGCTATTCTTCCAGATCTTTTTACGGAGGTTTACACGGCGCTATTTTTGCACCTAATTTTTTCTTATTTTTATCAACGACCTCTGCGATATCATCAGTTCCCATCTCAATATTTATTTTGATTACACAACTGTTTGCTACAGACTTAATAGCAAGTCCGATAAGTCCTTTAAAGTAATACTTGTATTTGATCTCGAGTACGAACTCCAATTGGTTAACAACAATAACAAAATTTGAACGCCTCCAAAATAGAAGTGAACTATTTTGGTCATCTTAGAGAACTATTTTCCCCAGTCATCAGTATGACGGATGTTAACTTCAAGGAGAAGAAAATATTGTGTCTTCTTGGTTTCACGGTTTCAGCTGGGACAGAGTTGAATGATTGTATTAAAGAAATTGTTCGGTTTGTTGCTAAGAGAGTTAGCTTTTTGTATCGTGCCAATTTTTCTTGACGGAATCCATCTTGGATGTTTATAAATCTTCCACTTATCCGTGCATCGAATGTTGCTGCCACATCTGGTCTGGTGTTCCTGCTATATATCTCGAGATTCTAGACAAAATGCGTCAGTAAATGTTTTCGGTCCTGCCCTGGTATCTCGGCTTCAGTCACTTTCCCACCGTCGCGATGTGCTGTCTTTTCTATAAATATTTTCATGGCAATTCTTCTAATGAGATTTCCTCCTTGAAACATCGGATCGATGAATGTAAGCGTAATATTAGATTGGCAGTTAGACATCCTCATCCATTTACTGTTCAAATATCTAGATGCAAACGTAAGTTCTATTCTAACTGCATATTTCCCAAATTTCTCCCTATCTATCTATCTATCTATCTATCTATCTATCTATCTATCTATCTATCTATCTAAGTTTGTTCATATCTATCGATCTATCTATCTATCTATTTATCTATCACAGTCTGTTAACATCTATCTATCTATCTATCTATCTATCTATCTATCTATCTATCTATCTATGCCTGTTCATATCTATCTATCTATCTATCTCAGTCTGTTCATATGTATCTATCTATCTATCTATCTATCTATCTATCTATCTATCTATCTATCGCATTCTGTTTATATCTATCTGTTTATTTCATTCTGTTTATATCTCAGTCTATTCATATCTATCTATCTATCTATCACAGTCTGTTAACATCTATCTATCTATCTATCACAGTCTGTTAACATCTATCTATCTATCTATCTATCTATCTATCTATCTATCTATCTATCTATCTATCTATCTATCTCAGCCTGTTCATATCTATCTATCTATCTATCTATCTATCTATCTATCTATCTATGAATTGCGACCATATCACCTCGAAACAGCGGTTTTTTTTTTTACCATAACCGAAGTTAAGCAATGTTTGGCCTGTTCAGCACTTAGATAGGTAACCGTTTGGGAATATCAGGTCCTGCAAGCTTGGATGTATGGGTGGTCCTATGAGTAAAAGCCGGGAATTGTAATTTGGAGCGCCGAGTTCCAATTCTATTCCGGTTTATTTATATTCATCTACGCGCAAATACGTAAATGATGTTCGATAATAGAATGAGATGCCGTTTAAATATCTAGATACAACTGTAATTTCTATTTCAACTGCATCTTTCCCAAACTTCTTTCCCGTGGAACATTCTTCCGCTTACTTGCATCTCTTCAACCTAAGAATTTTAAAGATTTAAATATAATGCCAATCGCCATCTTATGAATTTTTTTCCATCTGTTCTTTTATTGTCTTTCCTCACTAACGTCTTCTGTGGTTCTAGCAGGTCTCTTGCATCTTAGTGGCATTATCGCCTTCCTTGTGGTGGGGAGATAAAAAAAATTGTTTGTTTGATGTTAGGATACATAGTCTCCATATTAAGTCCTTGAACGCGTTTCATATTTTGAGAGCAGCAAATAAATATTCATTTAACTAATTTGTCATACAAACTAACACGTTATAGCCGAATGAGCGTCGTTAGCAAGAAGCACGGTCTTTCCCTGACGTTGGTCTGACAAGTATATTAGGTTGGCCGCTTCACTTGCTTTTCCCTTCTTTCAAGCAGAGAACGTTTTACGAGCAGGGTAAGATAGATTCTCACGCGCACACCCACGCACGTACATACACAGGTTTCGCGCTTAATACATAATTTTTTTCCTCAGTCTGTCAAACGATAGTGTTGTTGTTCCATATTTGATGCATTCAGAAGATTTGCTGGAAGGTAAAGTGCGCGTAAACTTGATTTCGATTCTACAGAAACACAACATATGCATTTCCTGAACTGAACTTCCTCATTTGCAGTAAATATATGCCTGGCAGGGAAAGAGGCAGGGAAAAAGACAGGAAGGTAAAATGAGAGAGAGAGAAAAGAAAAAGGAGAGAGTGAAAGAAAAAGAAAAAAAGTGAGTAACAATAAAATCGGAAGTGAGAGAAAAAATGGAATTGATTGAGAAAGAGAGGGATAATATAGAAACAGTATTAGAAAAAGAGAGGGAAATATAGAAGCAGTATTAGAGAAAGAGAGGGACAATATAGAAACAGTATTAAAGAAAGAGAGAGACAATATAGAAAAAATATGAAAGAAAGAGAGGAAAATATAGAAACATTATGAAAGAAAAGGAGGGGAATATAGAAACAGTATGAGAGAAAGAGAGGGAAAATATAGAAAAATTATGAAAGAGAGAAAAATATAGAAACAGTATAAGAGAAAGGCAGGGAAACATAGGAACAGTATGACAGAAAGAGTGTAAAAATATAGAAACAGTATGAAAGAAAGAGAGGGAAAATATAGAAACAGTATGAGAGAAAGAGAGGGAAAATATAGAAAATTATGAAAGAAAGAGAGGAAAATATAGAAACAGTATGAGAGAAAGAAAGTGGAAATATAGAAATAGTATGAGAAAAAGAGAGGGAAAATATAGAAACAGTATGAAAGAAAGAGAGAGAAAATATAGAAACAGTATGCGAGAAAGAGAGGGAAATATAGAAATAGTATGAGAGAAAGAGAGGAAAAATATAGAAACAGTATGAGAGAAAGAGAGGGAAAATATAGAAACAGTATGAGAGAAAGAGAGAGAAAATATAGAAACAGTATGCGAGAAAGAGAGGGAAATATAGAAATAGTATGAGAGAAAGAGAGGGAAAATATAGAAACAGTATGAGAGAAAGAGAGGGAAAATATAGAAAGAGTATGAGAGAAAGAGAGGGAAAATATAGAAACAGTATGAAAGAAAGAGAGAGAAAATATAGAAACAGTATGAAAGAAAGAGAGAGAAAATATAGAAACAGTATGCGAGAAAGAGAGGAAAACATAGAAACAGTTTGAGAAAAAGAGAGGAAAACATAGAAACAGTATGAGAGAAAGAGAAGAAAATATAGAAACAATTTGAGAAAAAGAGAGGGAAATACAGAAACATAATGAAAGGGAGAGAGAGGAAAATATAGAAACGGTATGAGAAAAAGAGAGGGGAAAATAGAGAAACACTATGAGATAAAGAGACGGAAATATACAAAATGAGAGAACAGGAATGAAAATATAGAAACGCTATTAAAGAAAAAGAGGAAAATATAGAAACAGTATGAGAGAAAAAGAGGGAAAATACAAGATAGAGAAGCTGTTTGTTTAATACCAACCCTAAACCAAAAACTGATCCTCCCACCTAGCATGCCAGACTGGGTCTCCCTGGCCATATTTGGCGAACAGTCCTGGTGAAGGGAAACCTGAACATTCGAAACCAATGTAATCCACTCCCACCCGCAGCTTGATGTAACACAGGCAAAATGTCGTGGCTGGGAATTGTAATCATACCCCTTAAAAATCTAAATATGATTGTTGCATAATTTAAAGGACAAATAACACCAATCGAATCCTGGACAGACATACGTATATATTCAACAATAATTATATTGATATTTGGTAATTTTTGGGTTATTACGTCAGGGAAGAACAAGTTTGGCGCAACACCTAGTTAGGAATGATCCTGCAAATGAAGCAAGAAAAAAGTATATAACCATTGATTCTTCGACCAGCATTATTAACGTTGGGAAGAATATTCTGTCTCATTTGAAAATAGAAAAGAAATAATGTTTCATTGATCTTAATTGATATATTTAATCACGCTGAGATAACATAATTCTATCTTTTTGGCAGATTATTGATTCCTCAGGCGTTAAATTCTTCAAGTTATAGTGTAAACGCTCACTAACAGTTTGAAAGTCTTCACTCTTAATAAACAATTTTTCCTACAGAAAATGATGCATTGATCTGAAAAGATGATAGTCATATGGAGCATGGTAAGGAGACTAAGGAGGATAAGTCCAACCGTCCATATTTAATGCCATGATAATTTCCTGAGTGACATCGCTAATATGTGGGCTTGCATTTTGGAGTAAGATCAACACACCTTTATGTTTAAACAATGATGCGTACCTTTTTCCTGCAAATCTTTCAGCGATGCTTCCAATTGATGAGATTCCTCGTGCTGCGTGATGAAGACACATAATGAGGAAAGAGAGCTTGGAAAATTTGATACACACAGGACACACTGAAAGTGAGAGTAACGAGGAAAACCAACACATAACCTTCCTAACGAGGTTGTGTAAATAGTTTGCATGGCGGGGGTTAGGATATATATCAAAAGGACAAATTTTACTAAGCGATACAAAGACGAGGAAGTTGTGGAGAGCCATCATCACCCACGTCCTGAAGGGAAACGGCACATAAAAGAAGAAGGCGATAGACGACACTCTTCATATACCAACAAATCCTGGCTTAGGAATGCATTCTCTTTTTTTTTAATGGCTGCCAATCTCCGACGTTTTCGTTGGGTATAATTATAGAGTAGCCACTTTTCATTATTGGTGAGGGTTACAGCCAATAAATTTCCGGCAGTCAGTCTACCCTTCAATGACGAGCAGAGGTAACGTTTTAAGCCGAGAAACAGGCAGATAATGAGGGACCAATCGACAAGGTTTAGTCATTTTTACAAGGCCATGAAGGTCTTTGACGATCGAACTGTGACGTGTTAAATTGTTTTCCTAATTTGCAGGTTGATTACGTGTTTCTTCAACTGCAGGCTACAGCTGCTCATTATTGAGATATTTTGGTCGTCCAGATCGGGAGGAATCTTCGACAGAAACATTTCGCAAGTGAAACTGATAAACGCATCGTTGACATATCCGGTGAAGTAAAACTTCCTTTTTTAATACACAGTACGACTCTTTCTTTCCGCTTGTATAACAGAAGGCCCCTTTTAGCATTCAGGCAACATACAGTCACATAGATTGTTTATCTGTCGAACTCTCTGCCTCGAGTAGAGAGGAACCCGGACGAGGCTTTGCCGAAGGGCAAAGTTTCGTCCGGGGAGGTAGACAGACCCTGAACCCGTTTATACGGGTTCGAAGGGAATATTTTTGGCCGAGCCTACGGGCTCGGAGAATCCACGGTAAACTCGGCCTTGTGCCACATACAACCCTCGCAGGGCGGAGGAGCTGTTAAATATTAACATACAGTGTCTTGTATGGGTTGGAGCTAAGCCCATTTTAAAATATTTTAAAACGGACACAAAATACTTATTCACACTTGTAATAAGTATTCCCCAAAGAAAGAAAAATAAAACACATTTTTATAATGCTCGTATAAGCTCGTAGTTTCTAGTTAATAATTGTTATACCGGAACATACCTATTCTATTGTTAATAGACTCTCCCAGATATAATAAGTAGTAGTAGCAGCAGTCGCCAGGGGGCTCAGAGTGAGTTGGTGAGTCAGTCGATGTCGGACATTAAAGTATCAACCACCACAACTAGATTGCTGCGTCATTAACTATTATTTCAAGTTCCTAACGTTTTGTACGTCGAACCCGTTTAGGACCGACTTAGAAAAATACAAGCCTCCACTGTGAAAACTACTCTACAACAATAATATTGCAAGGAAAACAGTGAAACAAAATATTAGGGAAGAAAAAGTTTAACCACACAAGGGATATGGATTAATAATACATAAATAGTGAATACCGTAGTTCAGTGTAGCAATGCGTACGACTCAACGCTATTCCTTGTGATGCACTTTGCGACCCTGTTTCTATCAGCTGACTTACTACTCCTGGTGAATGAGTCTACGGTTAAGAATTAGTGTAGTGAAGGTCGATCGTCTTTCTACACAACAATATTAATGTGAATGATTCTTTTGCCATGAATCGTGAAAAGGTTATTATGTCAAAAATGTAACAGGATTTAATTTCCAACAGAATATATAAGTAAACATATCTTTTATGGAGGCGCATTCAGTTCTTACATAGATAGGCGCATGGCCAAGTGGTTAGAACCTTCACTTTTTGGCCATTTCGAATCTTACGATGTTCGATATTGTTATAAAGTGTGTTCCAATAACTTGGACGGATTTTCAATGTGTACGAGAATGTGGCCGAAAATCCACACGCCTCTATTCGTCATCGGGTGCAGGAATTGAATCTCTCCATAACAACGTTACATCGTTTCCAATTTCACTCTCGGTTGGTCGATTATGTTGAAATAATGAAATATACAGAAATAATGAAACACTCAGAAAAGTTTAACTTATTATTATACATGAACAGGAATAAAGTTCGGAGTTCATTTTGCTATAAAGGGTGTTCCAATAACTTGGATCTTTTTTAAATGTGAATTAAGTATAAGCGTCTAATGATGTTTTTTTTTTCTTTCAGATTTAAACAATGGCCCAAAATCCAGACCCTTCTATTCGTCATCGCTCGCCGGAATTGAACCTCTCCACAATAACGTTACATCGATTTCAATTGTGCTATCGGTTGGTCAATTATGCTGACTAAAATATCGCAAAATGTGCGAAATGAATTTCTGTTTGAACGTCCATTTTCGTAATAGGCTTCGATAACATTAAAACTCTGTTTGATTATTAATCTTTTCATCGTTGAAATTTTCAAAAACTTAAGTTGTTAAATCTGAAAGAAAAAGAAAAAAAAACATCATTAGACGCTTAAACATAAGTCACATTTAAAAGCGGTCCAAGTTACTGGAACATCCTATATAAATAATGTCAATAACTTTCTAGAAGTAATTGTCAGAATTTTACGGAGTTACAATAAGTTTGTATTTGTAATTTACCCCTGAGGATGGGTTACTTGGGCTAGAAAAAAACTACGGTGCCTTCCTTGATGAATTTAATCTTAATTGATTGATTGTTAATCTTTCCATGGTTGAAATTGCCGAAGGCTTAAGTTGTTAAATCTGAAAGAAAAAGAAAAAAATCATTAGACGCTTAAACTTAATTCATATTTAAAATCGCTCCAAGTTATTGGAGCACCTTTTGTAATTGTTATAGAACTGGGATGCGATACCAGCGTACATCACCGTTGGAAAATACCTGAAAACCATACCACGAGTTGACGCAGTCCTTACGACTGAAATTGTATAAACGTTGGTTATTGTCGATGAAGTTACAAGTCATCGTGTCCGAGTGTTGCAGCGTACTGACCTTGTTAAACAAACTAACCACTTTATTGGGACACTCTTTGAAACTAAGGTCTGCTCAGCATAGATGCAGTATAAACCACAGGTATGCTCGATGGATTGAGCAGGCCTCTGTAATAGTAGCCGGCCATTTCACATTCAATATTACTCTAAGAGATACATACGTATATTAATATGGTGATTTTCCAAGTATAGCTTAGATTTGGTACAAGGCCGAAAATATGGGGCACCCAGTGAAGATCGAACTGAGGCATAAATGTAATAGCGAGACAAGCTTCCTTCCTAACCATTTCATCACGTCAAAGTGCCTATGGTGATTTACTAAGCGAACCTTAGATATGGCCCAAATCTGAAAGTGTGGGACACCCAGTTAGGATCGAACAAACTAATCAGTCGTAATTGTTTAAGAGAGGCTAGCTTACTAACCATTTCACCACACCGAATTTTTCTAAATAGTTTTCTAAACAGATATATCCCGGAGACTGTCCGCTAGATAACACGCTCTCCCCCAGAAACTGTAACTAAGGTGTGCTTAGTATAGTTGCAGTATAAACCACAGTGGGCTCTCTGGGTGTTGAACAAATACAAATGTGCCTGATCAAACGTCTGCAATAGGGATTGACTAGCCACCCCAGTAGACGGGTATCCTCGAATACGTGTGGCTAGCTATACTGCTACATCTACTACTACTACTACTACTACTACTACTACAAGGTTTTGAAGAAAGAAATTAATTTCTCATCATTCACACCAACAATTAATGTTAAAAAATTATGAAATAATAGATATGTCCTTGCGAACTGTTTATAATGGCAAGATAATCATAGACATGGCCATTGTCAAGGTATTAAAGGAATTCATTGAATTTCTCTTGAATAAAATTGCAAAGGATTCAACCACATCCATACAAAAAAATATTAACAGAGCTAAACTTGTCCTATTATATATGTGTTTGTGTATGTGTGCATGAGTATACATACATATATATATATATATATATATATATATATATATGCAACGACATGGTTTGAAAAATTACTGCGAATATGTAATTGTTAAAGGTTGCTCAATTTTTTTTTAATAAATTAATGAGTGAAAAAGCAACTAAGCACAGTTGCTAATTTTTTTTATAAAAGTTAATTTATTTCATATATATATATATACACACACACACATATATATACATATCTGTGTGTGTGTATA